TTTTTTTTTTTTTTTTTTTTTTTTAGATATTTTTGTTGTAGAGTGTGTGTGCTTGCCAGAGAGACAGAAAGCGAGAAATCACCCCCCAGAGGATGGCCACGCCACAATCCCCTCTCCTCCATTCTCCTCTCGGGATCTTGGGCACGCAGCCACATGCGCCCGGCGTGTTTTAAGTCACCAGGTCCAGGACTCGAACCGTGGTTAATGTAACCATTACACCATCTGCTGGTCCCAGAGACTTCCCCTTCCCCAGACTGTGACCAGCCAACAGCCACAAAACATGGCTCCAACGCCTCCTGGGTCTGCATGGTGCACAGCAGGGCCCGCCCAGTAAGAGGACGCTGGACAGACCTCGAGCACACCCGCCCCAGCCTGGGCCTCACACCAGCCTTCTCCCAGCTCCCACCTTCCCTCCCTGCCCACCCTCTACCAGAGCCAGTCACCTCGCTAAGACCTAGGTCATCCAGGCCACCCTTCCACTCAGACGCCCCATGGCTTCCCAGCTCGCTGGGGTGAGTGCTGAGACAGCCCGCCCACTCAGACTCCAGCGTCCCGGCTTCCGGCTGCTCCTGGGGCCCTGGTCCACTCCTAGCCCGGGCCTTCCCTCCCCCTGGAGGGCTCTTCTCCCAGGTGTCTTCATGCTCGCTCTCACCTCCCTGGCTACTGCCCAGCAATTGCTTCCTCAGTGCGGACGTCCTGCGTGACCCAGCTGAAGAGGCGCCCACCCAGCGCTCGGAGCCGCCCAGTGGCCACTCTCCTCCGGGGTCTCCCACCTGCTAGCACAGCTTCCTGCACTCGCTTATTCTGTTTAGGTTCGTTTTATTCCCTGCTGTATATGAGAGGCCTTCACATCTGGAATGGCAGGCCAGCATGTAGAGTGGTGGTTAAGGCACTGGACTCCTGCATGGTCTTCTGCAGTCTGAGCCCCAGACCTGGCAGCTTGCTTACTCACTCTCCACCCCCGCCCCGTCCCTCTCCGGTGGGCACATGTGTCAGATAGAATATTGAAAAATAGAAATGAATAATAAATAAAGAAGAATTTTAATGGCAAATGCGCATCATTTAAAAATGAACAAAGAGGGCCTGCAGGAGATGTGGAGGGTAAGGCACTGGATCCCACATGACTGACTGTGTGGTTCAAGTCCTGGACACAGTGGCTTGAAACACATGTGGCATGCTGGTTAAGGTGCCGCATTCCCACACAGCTGACCACAGTTTGAGTCCCAAACCCAGCAGCTTGAAAAATCACAACACATCAATAGATAAATAAATGTTTAAAAAATGCTGGGCACATGTGAATGCATGCCCAGAATCCCAAGAGGAGAAGGGATCGCAGCGTGGCCATCCCCTGGAGGGATTTCCCACTTTCCCTCTCTGCCTCTCTCCAGAGAGCACACACAATCTACAGCAAATTAAATATATATATATATATACACATACATACATACATACATGGGCTGGCCCTGTGGCCTAGTGGTTAAAGGGAGCCAAATCCTACATGGCTGACCGTGGTTCAAATCCTGGCTCAGTAGCTTGGAAACCATGCTGAGTGTGCCTGTATACGTGCCCCAAATCCCAGCAGGCTGGAGAGATGGAGGAGGATAGAAATGTGACCACGCCCCATTAGGTGGTGCTTTCCGGCTCACTCTCTGTCTCTCTCTGGCGAGTGCACACACCTGTACTAATTAACAAACTGTGCATAGGGGCATGGTGGTTAAGGCGCTAGACTCCCACATGGCTGACCGCAGGTGGCTTGCTTTCTCACTTTCCTTCTCTCTCACTCTGGCCCTCTCTGATCAAATTTTAATTAATTCATTCATTCATTAAAGTTAAGTAAAATAGTTTTTTTTGGAGAGATTTTTGCTATAGGGCGCGTACATGGAGACAGAAAGTGAGAAATCACCCCCCAGGGGGGATGGCCACGCCGCAATCCCTTCTCCTCTTGGCATCTTGGGCACGCACGCACATGCACCCGGTGTGAGTTTAAGCCACCGGGCCCGGGACTCAAACCATGGTCGACTGCGTGGGAGCCCAGAGACAGCCATTACACCAAGTGCTAGTCCCAAATAATCCTTTGTACAAAAACCTATGCATAGATTTCAATTTCTTTTCACACCAGGAAAACCTCAGGTTTCAGTTTAGTTCCATTTTCCCGTGGACTCTGACGTCCCCACGCATGTGCCCTGAGAGACCAGAAGCGGCCCTGCAGGCAGAGGCGATCTCTGGACGTTCTGGCGAGAGGAAAGGGCAGAGAGCACACCCCTGCCCTGCACCGGCAGGGCTGACCTGCAGGGTCACCTCTGCAGGAAGCTGCCTGGCCTGCACGCCTGGCATCCCTCTTTTGAAGGCTAGCTGCACTGTCAGCAGGGCTCTCTGCTAAGGATGTGTACCTGTCACCTCCTCCTCTGTAGAAGAGGAGCCCCGGGCATGGCCAGCCCCACGGAGATGCCAGGAAAGGGCGTGTGCATGCATGCGCGAGAGCATGGCGGGAAGGTCTCGGGGCTTTCGGAACAACTCCAGGGTGAGTTCGGCGTCACCTCCTCAGGGACGCCTTGCTGACCACACTTGCCCAGGCCTCCTCCAGGCCTCTTCAGTGCTGGGCCACCTCTCATTGAGTCCCTCTCTGGGTCATAAGCACCCGTGGCAGTAGCCATGTCCCTACCTTGAGGAGTTGCTGGAGGGTCAGGCGTCGGAGGGCTAGGGTTACTCGGCCAGCACCCGAGTGCGACCCGAGCACAGCGGAAGGCCAAGACAGAGGGGGCGGGCGGAGGAGAGGAGCTGACCCTCCATGCTCCAGCCTCTACTCACCTCGTACAGTTCCAGGGGGTAGTTGCAGGCCTGGGGGGAAGAGAGCCAGCGTCAGTCCCCACAGGGGCAGGCAACGGCCCTGCAGCACGGCCAGGCGTGGGGATGGATGGGGACTGAGTCCCATCAGACCCTGGTGCTGGACCCCCGGAGGCAGAGGTGCAGAGGAAGGAGCCCTAGGGTCTTCTGAAAACCACCATCCTAGGACCAGGGAGGAGGCCGTGGGGCTGGGCTGGGCTGCCTGGGGAGGCCGGTGGCGGTCGCCCGTACCTCGAACTTCTGGAGAAGGCTGCAGTTGTCCGCGTCCGCCACTGGCACGTTGTAATACTCGCCCTCCTCCTGGTTCAGTAACTTGTACCTGCCGGACCGGGCACCAGGGAGGGCAAGGCCGGGGACGGGCACCCACGGGATGAAGACAGCCAGCGGGAGGAGAAAGACGGGGAGATGGACGCAGAGATAGAGACAGAGGGAGATAGGGGAGGAGGAAGAGTTAGAGGAGGACCAGGAGGCAGGAGAGAGAAGGGAGAAGAGGAGGGCGCAGGGGGAGAGGAGGACGGGCAGGGAGGAGGGTGTGTGTGTGTGCGGGGAGAGAGGGGAAGGCCCTTGCCCAAGGAACAGAGGCGCAGGCTGGAGATGGCAACACCTAAGCACCCCAGCCCAGCCCCACTCCTCACCAGCCATCCACAGGCGCCTTGAGCAGCTCTGAGACTCCGAAGGACATGGCGCCCATGAAGTCGTTGCGGGAGGTCCGGTCCCAGTCCCACACCTCCACGCTGAGCCTGCGCTCCACATCCCCTGGCTTCAAGTTGCTGCAGAAAGGTGGGGGTGAGGGCTGAGCGCCTGCTGCCCCACCCCCGGGTCCCTGGGTGCTCCCTGCTAGACTGGGTTAGGCGCCTTCCGGCCTCTGAGCCCGCCCAGCCATAGGCCTGGGCCTGCAGGGCTCCCCTGTGGCTCTCCTGCCCTCCCGGGCCTCCCCATCCCAGCCCAGGTCTCCCCCTCAGATCTCTCTCTCCAAGTCTCCACCCTCCCGCCTGCCCTGCCAGCCCCCTGTCCCCTCTTTGCCATCCTTCCCCCTCCTCTCCTTCTGCCCATGCCTCTTAGGGCTGGGCCTCTTCTTCAGAGACCCTCTCTGCCTCTCTTTGGGTGTCTGCCCCCGTTTCCGGTCCTTTCTCCCCGGGGAACTGCCTCTGCCTGCCCATCTCTTTCTGCACCCCTACCCTGTTCTCTGTCCCCCTCTGGGCCCTTTTTCTGAACCTCTCTTCTCTTTGGTCTTTGTCCCTCTCTCCACCTGTCCCTCCCTCCAGCTCTCCAGCTGTCCGTCTGTCTGTCTATGCTCTGAATCTCTGTCTCTGTTTCTCTCTCCTGCTCTGTCTCCTTCCTGGCTCTCTGCCTCACCTGGTAGTGGAAGGCATCCCAAGCCTTGAAAGCAGAGGTCCCTCTGTCTCTGTCTCTGTCTCTGTCTCCAGCCCTCTCCCTCACTCCCTTCCCTTCTCCCAGCCCCACCTACTGCCCTTACGGAAGGGTTCCCTCTAACGTAACACCCCCCACCAGCTGCTCTCTGGGCTCCTGCAGGCCCCCAGGGCCCCTGGGTCATTCTCCGGTGCCATCAGAGCCTCCCCTGCACCCAAGGCTCACAACACGAAGGTCTCGTTCCACACAGGGTTTAGCGTGGCTTTCACCGTCCGGGTCTTCTGTTTCGTTAGGTTCCGAGGGTCTGGGATGAGCTTCAGTTTCACGTAGGGATCGGACAGACCGTTAGGGTCCATTGGAATGAGGTTTCGGGCCTCACCGACTGAGGGGGGAGATGGGGATCAACAGCATGAGAGGTCAAGAAGGAGGCTTCAGCGCGGGAATCCCGAGCTCTCCGCCTCCTTTTCATGACCTCTTGCCTCCCCAGAACCCAGAGGCAGGACACGAGCCGCTCTCCAACCAGTGACCCAGAAATCAGACCCAGAGCCCCCTTCCGTTAGGACCCAGGATCTGGATTCTGGCCATGTCCCCAGCAGTAACGCCAAGCCTCCCCCGAGTCTCGGGGTCCGGATACCTGGTACGGCCTCTAAGAGGCGCTGCAAGTTGCAAGAGGCAAGACTGGAGGCGGGGCTTTGAGCGAGAAGGGGCGCGGCTTGGCGAACTCAGCCTCCGGAGGGGGCGTGACGCCTCTCTATCGAGGGCGTGGCCTCCCCTTAGGGCTCCTCCCTCAGTCCAGCCTCGGGGGAGAAAGGTGCCGGGCCTCACCCGTGATGTGGATCTCATCCGCGGTCGGAGCCCGGATTTCCAGCTGCAGGCGCCCACGGCGCTCCGTGTGGTCCACACCGCACAGGGAAGGCACGCTGCGCACACAGCGCCGGTGCACGTTCATCTCGCAGCCTGGGGAGACGTAACTGGGGGTAGCACTGCAGGCCCTGCCCCCACCGCAGATCCCATCCCAGGCGTTACCCGGATCTCAGACACTGGGACTTCTGAAAGGGTCCCAGCAGCTGCAGCAGCCAGCGCGGCACTCACACGAGCACTTCATGCCCTGGTGCACCAGCCCGTAAAGCAGGGAGCCGCAGTGGTCGCAGAAGGTGGGGCTGCTGTAGGTGTGCAGGCGGAACTTGTGCTTGTTCCGGGGGTCCTGGGTGCAGAGAAGCAGCCTTAGGGGTGTGGGAAGGCAGGTCGTCAAGCCCTGGGAGAGGGGCCATTTAACTTCTCGCCCTTCCACTTTGCTCGCTCGGTCTTCTGCTACTCTTCATTCGCTCTGCAGCTGCTATTTAGCACCTATGGCCTGCCAGGCACGGTTGGGGTACAGGCCCCCCACACTGAGCAAGTCACTTTAGAAATTCTGGACAGGGGCCAGCAGGTGGCATGGTGGTTAGGGTGCTGGACGCCTACATTGTCGCCCATAAATCGAGTCCGGGACCTGGAGGCTGGCTTTCTCATGTTCTCTCCCTCTGGTGAGCACATGTGTCCTATAGCAAAATTTAAAATACTAATAATAAATAAAATTAAAGAATTATTTAAAGAATTCCTGGACATATGGGGCTTTACTTTTTAGTGAAGGGAGACAGAACACAGACTTAAAGCACACTGTAGGACGGATGTGAGTCGGTGCTCTGGGGAAAATGCCGTAGGGACGCAGACGCTGGAGGGTGGGGACTGAAGCGCAGATCACAGAGGTCGGGGAAGGCCTCTGCACAACTCAGCGTTTGAGCAGAACATGAAAGGGGCGGGCCTCCGCCGTCCCCTCGTCCCCACCTGCACCACACGCCTCCCACGGAGTGTCCTCTGAGGACTCAGGGCCACCCTGACCCCCGATGAGTCACTAGTAGCCTCCGTCAGTGCCTGCGCACCGCGCGGTCTGCCTTCTCTGAGCCCCAGGTGGGCTGGAGACTCTGACCCTGAGTACATCCGGGCACCCAGGAGCCCGCGGGAGCGCAGCCCTGTGAAACCCAGCAGGCCGGGCGCGGCGAGCAGGGGCTGCCACTCTCCGTGCTGGCATTACTGGGCGCTTACTGCTGGCGAGTGCACGGCCGCGCGCAGCCCGGAGTTTAAATGCGAGCTAGGCCACTTCCCAGCTGCGACTCGAGGCAAGGTGTTCCCAGTTTGGAGTCAGCATCCTCCACTGTCAAGAGGAAATAAACCATCTGTATCTTGAAGCAATGCTAAATTCCCAGAGTCCGGTTAAGCATGAATTTAGGACATGGGAAAGCACTGCCCCCCCCCCACACACACACACACTTCTGTCCCCTCCCCTCCCCGAAGCAACATCCGGCTGTTAAACAATTTATCTGCCTTTTTCAAGATTGCATCGAAGGAAACTGTTATAGAGTAAACATTTGCGCCATCGTTGGACTTGCATTTTGGTGGGGTTCTATCTTGAATATGTACTGGGGAGGCTGCCGCTCAGTTCCAGCGCTCCCGGCCTTACAGAGCTTCAGCTGACCCTGACTCAAAGCGCTCCAGCAGCACTCTGATGGGATCTGTGAAGGCCTCTGCGGGGTGCCTGGGCCACTGAGCGCTATTGCTATTCTTCTCCCTGAGATAACTTTGGGCCCAGATTTTAACTGCCACTGCCCGCCTCTGGTCTCCCCCTTGCTTACTTAGCCTCGGTTTCCCTTCCATAAAGTGCGGACCGTGAGCCCTCCCTCAGCAGGGTCTGGAGATACCTACATGAAGCGTGCTTGCCAAGCCCTTAGCGCTTCCGAAGCCCGGTCCGTGTTACTCATAAGATGAAAAGGATTAGGAAGAAAAGAAAAACAGCTGATGCAGAGGAAAGCTCGCCTCCCCACAATCTGACTGTCTCCTCGTTGATGATCATTTGGGGGCACCGCCGTGCAATATTGCAGTCAGATGCCAGGTGGACCTGGGCATACATGCAGTGGCCGGGCGTGCACCCGTCATCCTGGCTGGCCGGGAGGCTAGGGGGGAGGATCAAGGCATAGGAGATCCTGTCAAGGGTACCGCTCCCTCATCAAACAAACAGAAAACCTAAATAAAAGAAACTTTAAAAGGTAACAATACTGGGGCCAGCAGGTGGCGTGGTGGTTAAGGCACCGACCGAATTCCAAATTCCAGATCTAGAGGCTTGCTTTCTCATTTTCCTTCTCTCTTTCTCTCTACAGTAAATTAGAAAATAAAAATACAATGATAAGAAATAAAATTAAATAAATATTTTAAAATAATAAGAATAGGGACAGGCCCCATAACAGTGGTTAGGGCAACTGGTCCCATATGACCGACCATGGTTTGAGTCCTTGCCCAGAAAGCTTAAAAAATACTCCTAGCCTATGTGCAGGCGTGCCCTGAATCCTGACAGGATGGAGAAGGACCGGGGCGTGACCACAGCCCACTGGGGGTGCTTTCCTCCTCTCCCTGTCTCTCTCCAGCTAGAGCACACAACCTCTCACAATTTAAAATAATAATAATAATAATAATAAAGCACTGGCCCCAAGCACCTAGTGGTTAAGGGATCCGGATCCCACATAGCCAGCCGTGGGTCCCAAGTCCCAGCCCCAGTGGCTGGGAAGCACGCCAGGCACAGGTGCATGTGTGCCCAGGTCCTGACAGGGTGGGGGGTGAGGAAGGGACTGCACTGGGCAGGCGTTTCCGCCCTCTCTGGTGAGCACACCCGGCCCCTGACAATAGCAGTAGTGATAATAAATACACAAAACTGAAAGCCAGTGGTACTTCTGCCAACAATCATAAATAATATTTTGGCTCTTGCTATGTACCGGATACCACCCAAGTATTTTCTTTAAGTATATTCATTCATTTCTTGAGAGACAGGGAAAGATTCTTGATGGAGCGGCAGGGTCTCAGGCCGCAATCCCTCACAGCAGCCGGTGTTAGGTGCCCTGCTCACACAGGTCCCCAGGGAAGTGGACCTGCCATCTTTCCTGGGGACCCTGTGCACCCAGCACTGCCTGAGGCACCTGCTGCCACTGTGCCCCCCGGCCAGCCTGTCCTGCTGACTCGTCAAAATGCCCCACAGGAGGTTTGGCTACAGTCTCCATTTTACAGATGGAAAATTCCAGAACGGCACAGAGGTACATGAGCTTGGGGAGGGTCACGGAACCAGAACGTGGCACCGGGACTCCAGCCCAGATATTTTTCAGGAGCTTCTGCTCAGATGGGGCAGCCTGACCTGGTGAGCTGCTGCGCGGCCCCGGGTCCATACTGCAGACAGAGGCGCTGGTTCCTGCTGCACCGCTCTGTAAACTGAGCCGCGCCGCGGGGCAGACACGCGGGGGACGGACGTGGAAATGTATGTAGGTGTTGGCAAATGGCGGTGCTCAGTGCACATGGGGACTTCAAAACACGTGTGGAAAATGGAGTTAACGTACGAGGTTATTTCGGTGCAAAAAGATTTGGAAAGCCATGCGTGGTCTTTCCACAATGTACATTTTTGACCAACTTTTTGAAGACCCAGCCCTTGTTCCGTGAAATCGCGTCTTCTGTGTAAACCTCATCTATCTTCACCTGACAAGCTGGAAGGACGCCTCCTGACCTCCGAGGGTCTCGGTTCCTTTCTCCATCTGCCCCTCGTAAAAATGTCTCCAAACTTGTGCCAAACCCTGAACAAAACGCTTAACCCACCTGACCTCACTGAACAGTCAAAACAAGCCTGGGGAGAGCCAGCAGGTGGTGTGGTGGTTAGGGTGTGGGATTCCCACAAGGTCCACCGCAGTACGAGTCCTGGACCCAGAAGCTTGAAAATCACACTGGGCACATGTGTGTGCATGCCCAGACTTCTGAGAGGAGAATGGATGACCACGGACGGCATCATGGCCATTCTCTCTGGGGTGATTTCTCACTTTCCCTCTAGCCTCTCTTGCACACGGCAAGCCCATGTGCCCATGTTACACACACACACACACACACAACAAAAACGAGCCTGGAGATGTCTGGACGTGCCGTCCGCTCAGCGGCACTCAGCGCGTGAGGATGCCTAAATTCAGTCCCTTTGAATCAATGTGCTTTGGAGTCCTGTTCCAAAGGCTCCCTGGCTGTGTGGGGCTGGCCCTGTCATCCCACTGGACAGCACACCTAGAGGACATCTCCATCATTGGCCACCGTGTCAATCAGCGCTAGGTCATCACCCCATGATGGAGGGCAGGAAACTGAGGCTCACAGAGAACGTGAAGAAGGACAGGGATGGGCACCCAGGGTGACAGTTCCAGGACAACAGTTCTTACGAGTCCTTGATGTGGCAAGAGAGATGGGGCTGAATGGGGGAGTGTACTCGAATCCACATGTATGTGTGACTACACGGGAGGTCTGCACATATATACATGTGTGATTGCACAGAAAGTCTGTACATGCATGTGTGTGATTATACAGGAGGTCTCACATGCACACATGTGTGATTGCACGGGAGGTCTGCACGTGCATGTGTGTGATTACATGGGAGGTCTCACATGCATATGTGTGTGATTGCACGGGAGGTCTGTACATGCACATGTGTGATTACATGGGAGGCCTGCAAATGCACATGTGTGATTACACAAGAGGTCTCATGTGCACACACACGTGATTACATGGGAGGTCTGCACATGTATGTGTGTGATTACACGGGAGGTCTGTACATGCACACATGTGTGGTTACATGGGAGGTCTGCACATGGACATGTGTGTGGTTACACGGGAGGCCTGTACATGCACATGTGTGTGTGGTTACATGGGAGGTCTGGGCATGTACAAGTCTGTGATCACACGGGAGCTCTGTACATGCACATGTATAAGATGTCTGCACATGCACACATGTGTGATTGCATGAGAGGTCTGCACATCAAGTGTGAGATCATACATAGGAGATCTGCATGTCCACCTGTGTGTGATTACATGGGAGGTCTGCACGTGCACATGTGTGATTACATGGGTGCTCTGCACATGCACACATGTGTGTGATTACATGGAGGTCTGCACATGCGCACATGTGTAAGTACACAGGAGGTCTGCACGTGCACGTGTGTGATTACATGGGCGCTCTGCACATGCATACGTGCATGTGACTACACGGAGGTCTGCACATGCGCACATGTGTGTGCAATGCAGGGTCTCTCTGGGTCCCCAGTTCTCGTGCCATCCTCATAGCCGCCATTCTTACTCGTCTCTCTCCGGGTGTCTACGCCTCTGTCTTTCTGAGCTTCTGTGTCCGTCTCAGTATCTCTGGACCCCCCTTATTCCCTGTGTCACTTCTCTGTTCCATTTCTCTTCGCGCTCTGATCTCTCTGTCTGGGTCTTGGTCTCTGTCCCTGTATCTCTGTCCCTCTCTGAGAGTCTCATGCACCCTTGCTTCAGGATCGATGCCAGCCTTGCGGTTCCTGCCTTCCTTCCTCAGCCCTCAGTCGGAAGACCTCTGCCCGGATCTCAGCACAGCTCTCCCGGTGCCCATCTCTCCCTTCACCCCTGCCTCCTCCTGCCCCACCTGCGTCCCAGCCAGTCTCAGTCCCCCTCTGATTCCCCCTTTCCAGGTCAAGGGCAAGAAATCTGGGCCAGAGGAGCTTCCCTATCTCTCCAACCCCCTCCCCTCCCAGCCTTAAAAATAGCAGGAGAAATTGGGACGGACGCCGAGGGGGTGAGGGCGGGGCGCGGCCTGAGGAGGGAGAACCAGGTGTCCGGACACTCACGTCTGTCTGGGGGCCCTTGCCAGCGCCTGGGCACTCGAAGGTCACAAATTCGTGGCATCGCCGATGGACCACAAAGCTGCAGACTGAAAGGGAAAGTCAGAGAGACACAGAGACAGAGGGACATGGGTAAATCCAGAGAGACCCACCAGACAGAAAACTGGGAAGACAGACTCCAACAGAGAGGAAGAATTCCAACAGAGCGCAACAGAGAGAAAGTCAGAGAGAGACCTTGACCTGGGGCGAGACACAGAGAGGGAGACAGATCACAGAGTCCTGTGTGTACACGCAGCCCCTGGGGGACACAGAGCAGGGCAGGCAGGTTCCACCGATAGACAGGAGGGCAAGGAGAGAGGCAGCCAGCTTCCAAGAGCCAAGACACGGAAACACCCTCAGACACAGAGCGGCCGAAGTGAGTCTGGGGGTGCTGCCAGCCACCCCCTGCCCTGACTCACTCTGTTAGCTGAAGCAGCTGGTGCCTCAGGACTCTCCCCCAACTCCCGCCCCCCAGCACTGCCTGCCGGCCCCCACCCGCCCATCGGTGACCCCACCCGGCGGCCTGGCCCTGCGGAGGACTGTTGGTGTCGTCATGGAGATGGCAGCTTGGGGTGGGGGGGCTCTGACTTTGCAACTCCAGCCCCCTCCCCCTTCGGCTCCCCTTTTTCCAAATCTCTCTGTTCCCATGGAAACAGATTCTCCAAATATCTGTCCCCACCTGGAGCCGGCCAAGGGAGGGGCCCCCAGCACCACCTCCGCGGTGGCCCTGCCATCAAGCTCCCTCCCCACCGCAGGCTGTGTCTCTGCCACACCCCCCGCCCCGGCTCCCCCGCGCCTCTCTGGGGACCAGAGAACACGTGTGTGGAGCAGCCTCAGCTGCGGGCCGGCCTCCACCCTCCCCAGGAGCCCAGGGGTCCAGGCCCCGCCTCTTACCTTGACATTGCAGGCCCTGCTTTCCGATGCCCCTGGAAGAGTCGGACCCTGGTCAGCGCAGGAGGGGTGTCTGGGCCCCCTCCGCTGAGAGCCAGGCGAGGCCTGCCTCACCCCCCTCCTCCGACCTTGTCCCTCCCGCGGGGCCCAAGTGTCTGAGCTCCGGCCACCTCCTCTTCCTACAACCCCAATTCTGGCCCAGCCCCTCCTTCCTCAGGCCGGGGGTCCAGCCCCGCATCCCGAAACCCCCGCAGTCCAGGCTACCAGCCCTCCTTCCTCATCCCTGGAGGGGGGGTGTTGTGGCAGGGACCTGCACTCCCAGCGCCCTCCCTCGCCCTGGCCCCCTCCTCTCTGACCCGCCCGGCCCCCTGCCCTGCCCCTGCCCGCCTGCCGCCCTCACCAGATGAAGTCGGTGCAGTGGCTGCAGAAGGTCGGCTGCTTGAAGAAGCGGGCGGTGAACTTGTGGCTCTTGACTTCATGGACCACCTTCTGTCTCAGAGCCCCCTTTCTGCAGAACAGGGGCCGGGGGCCGCCCTCTG